CGTAGTCGCCTCCGACACAAAAACTACGTCATCCGCCTCGGCCATTTCCCCCCCTCCACCTCCGTCGGTACCCTCTCCACCTCCGCCGTACACTCTCTACCTCCGTCGGTACCCCCTCGGACTCCGTCGTTACCCCCCTCCACCTCCGCCTATACCCCCTCGTCATCCGTCGCCCCTCTCTCTACCTCCGTCGGTACCCCCTCGGACTCCGTCGGTACCCCTCCTCCACCTCCGCCCGTACCCCCTCGTCATCCAGTATTGAAACATGGTCCGATCACCATAAAAAAATAATCATGAAAATACCTGATTTGATTTCTTGATCTTTGGACTTGACAGTTTGAATCTGTTTCTTGACTTGATCTATTTTGCCCTCAAGCTTTTTCAGAAATTCTTCCAGATTCAAAGCCCTATTCTTAGCCCCTTTATCACCTCCCAAAACCTGTTTCTTGTTACAACTCCGATCATCATATTGCTGCTTCCGCTTGTTATTAAGAGATCCATTTCGGTACAAGTTGATCACCTCACGCACATCGCTACGATTCTCAGGCCATGTTTCAATCTGCCCGTCGGGGCCTAAGATCACAGCGCAAGCTCTGACATCACACAAAACTGATAATTCCATTGTTTTCTTCTTTATACATTCTTTTCTCGTCAATAATGCCTTTTTCTTGGCCCTCGAAACATCATTCTTGAAAGTTTTTGTTTCAGTCCTGGAATGACTGTCCATTCCACCACCGTCATCCGCCATGATTGTGATATTTCTCAGATGTAAAGTATATGCTATGAGAATAGAAAATTGAAACAGAGAGTAATCAAGATTGAGACGGGTGTAATGTAATTGAAACAGAGATAAATCAAGATTGAGACGGTAGTAATGTAATTGAGATAAATCAAGAGACGTTGGGCTCAAATGTAAGGCGGGAGTACAACTGGGTGTAGCGCGTTCTAGGGCTTTTTCTTATTAAGAAAAAAAAAGAACCATTGGGAAAGGGAACGTTAATGAAACAGAGAGTATTGGGTTCAAGTAAGGCGGTAATTACAAATAGTTTATGTAAATTCTTGAGTTTTTAATTGTTGGGTTATTACTCAAATTAAGAATTAAAGCCCCAGTTTGATGATCATTATTTAAATTTTTATTTATCTACGTCCTCATTTTTAACCACACATTTCAATAAAATAATTTTACTTGTAAACATAAAAATATTTTTTTACTTTTAAACCAGGGATGGACCAAAGATTATTGTTTTGCGGGATGAAATAAAATCACGTAAAATTGTGGGCTAAAATTATGGGGACATTTTTTTTCAATGGATCCACCCCTGTTTTAAACCAAGCATTTTTCAGAAGATCAATATAGATTATAAATTCTTTTTTTTTTTACAAAAATAGTCTCAAACACACTCTACAGAATTCTTCTTATAATTGTTGTCTAAGAAATATTGATTATTGATTAATAAGGAAAATGAGTTAGTTATAGTTGAATTAAGTAATCACAAGATTGGAATTTGATATACACACGCACACGAGACAGTGAGAGACGTTACAATACGGCAGAAGAAAGATTTTGGTAGAAAAGCTTTGCATATATTTTAGGAATAGAGTCACATAATGGTTTATATACATATGAAATGTAAGAAAGAGAGCGTGTAAGTCTTTTTTTTTATTTGGTTGAAACTGACCCAATAATATCTAGGGTGATGCTACACGTACATAATGCAGTGTCTACAAGGGTGTCCACCCTCTCACATGGGGGGGACCTACTTCAGATATATTGTATTTTATTCGAAGTGGGTCCCCTTCCATGTGAGGGAGTGGACACCGTTATGGACACCGCACTATGTACAAGTAGTATATTCCTAATATTCATCACGTATTGTATATGTAAATCATTATATACATATAACACAAACGATATTTTAGAGACATGAGAGGAAAAAACTAGAAAAGGATACACACATGATTCGGAACTTCGGAATGATATTCTAATTTTGTGTAGAAAAAAGTGGTGAGGGGTAAAGGAAAAATTGTATCGAGTGATTTTATTTTTAATTATTAAAGCTCATGTTTGGCTCCATTTTTTTAAATTCATTTTCAATCACATATTTTACTTATAGGATCCACAATTTTTATCGTCTTTTCTATCATACATTTTATCATACTTTTATCAAAACTAGTTTTAACCCGTTTATTGTACGGGGTGTGTGTTTTTGAAGATGAAGTTAGCGTCCGTATTTTATGTAATAGTCAGAATATTGTACAGTTTGGAATAGTTTGGAG